GAATGCCTGATTGTTGCCCGATCCTGCATCACATTCCCTAGCAAAGCCAAGCCAGGACCATTAAGGATGAGGACAGGACACCCAGCACCTTCGTGATCTCCTGCAGGAACATACCACACCCTGCTTCAGTTTGCTCTGTCCTCACCCCATTAGAGCCGTCATCGACAAACAGAAGCCTGGCTGTGCCTAAGCCTCCACGTTGCTCCCCATATCTCCTGACCAGGTCTAGGAACATGAGAAAAAGAAAATACTGCTTTTCTGCTCGGCCAGTCATGACCATTAATGTTTGAAAGCCAAATTTCAACAAGGCCGCATGGAGGCTGTGCTGCTGTGCTTCAACTTACAGCTCCAGCTCCTCTGCCTTGCTAAACAGCCATAGAAAACAGAATCAGATTTAGGAACAAGAAGAGACACATTACAAAGCACATTCATCTGGTATTAGCTCAGGCAAGGAAAGAGGTTATTTTTTTTAGCAGAGGAAGGGAAGCGGATGTCTTCCATGCTGACTGGGTAATTACATGTGGGGCTCCTGAGAGCAGGTAGTTGCAGGGAAGCAATTTCTGTCTTTCCCCCAGCCCAAGACACTGGTGGGCTGATGAGGTTCCCAGACAGACTGTGACTGCAGGATCTGGTGAGCCTGGGAAGAAAAGGAGGCGTTGACAGCTTCTACATCCAAGGGCATCGGAAAAGGCCTTAGAGAAAGTGAGAAGAGTGGGAAGAAGCTACTTTGGGAAGAGGATTGTTTATTTTTGAATCGTGTGGTTTATCTGGATTTCTGCCACCAACTCTCCATGAGGCATTGGAGATGCCTGAGGAGGAATCTCAGGGGTTTTGTTAAATTTGCCCTTTGGCATGCTCATTTTGCTGAAGAGGTAGTACTCTGAGGAAGCACAGCCCAGTTTAACTGAAGAGCCTAATGCTAGCAGCCCACAAAGTCTCCACAAATCCCTGTGGATTTAAAGGGAGGCACTGGAATTTAAAGAAGACCATAAAACAGATATCTTTAAGTTTAGTCTCTGGAGACCTAGTCTTTTTGAGGACCTTGGACTAGAACTGTTCACAGACATTGGGCAAGCTGAGACCAAATGCTCTTGAAGATGTCAGTAGGAAATTCAGCTGACCACACAGCATCAATACGAGACAGAGCAGTGTACCAAATGGATCAAGAGAAGACTCACAGATCTCCAACATGTGCCAAAAGCCATCCTAGCACCAAAAGCGTGGCAGAGAATCTTACCTTTATCAGCACTTCACCACCATTGAAAGCAGGAATAGATGTCAACACACACTGCCTTTCCCTCCAAGATTTGCTTCCTCCTAGAGGAAAGGACTCTGACCTTTCCAGCCACTAGTTTGACTTAATGCAGCAAAACTTCTTTGCAGAAATAGACTGGAAAGCAGCAAGACAGCACTATGGTACATATTGCTGGCCAAATATTCAATGCCCCACA